GGCCCCCAGGGGCCCCCAGGGGCCCCCAGGGGCCCCCAGGGGCCCCCAGGGGCCCCCAGGGGCCCCCCTTAGGTTGGGTGCAATGTTTACCTTGGACAACTCGCTGCGGTGTACAGACACCTCAATGCTGATGGGCTCCTGCGGCAGCTGGAGGGCTTCGGGCATATCTGTGGTGAAGTAGACGTAGGCGCGAGCCCCCAAGCCCACATTGCTGCTGCTGCTGCTGCTGCTGCTGCTGCTGCTGCTGCTGCTGCTGCTGCTGCTGCTGAGGGTGTCTTGCTGCTGCTGCAAGCGCTGCTGCTGCGGCTCGTCTTCGAGCCACGAGGGCCTCGCAGCAGCACGAAGGCCCCCTAGGGGCCCCGCAGCAGCCATTTCTTCTTTTTAGAATTTAAAAAGTGAAAAAGAAGCAATTAAATAAAGTTACTGGCCGCAAACCCTAAACCCTAAACCCTAAACCCTAAACCCTAAACCCTCGGGCGGTGTGGGGCAACGCAGCAGCCGGCGCGCGGCTTCCTGGCTAGCCAGCGGACAGAATTTAATTTTGTTTTTATTTTTAAATTCAAAAAACAAAATTAAATTTATTTTAAAATAATAAACAGCCAAAGTTCTCTGCAGCAAAAGTTCTGAACTTAATTGGGGGCCCCCGTGGGGCCCCCTTGGAGAGCCCCGGTGTAGTACCCTGGGGCCCCCGGGGGCCCCCAGGTGACCCTGGGGCCCCCAAGAAGACCCATTTTGTTTTTCTAATGTTTATTTGCATGCATTTTCTTTTTTAATTTGTTTTTAACTCTTTTTTAATTCTTTTTTAACTCCTTTTAATTCTTTTTTTATTTTTTAAATACATTTCTGGCCAAGTCGCAGCCCTTGGGGGCCCCGCAAAGGGAAAAGCGCCTCTCGGGGCCCGCTGTCGGCTGCAGGTGAAGCTGCAGCAGCAGCGATAGGAGAAAGGAACTTATGAGGGGGGGTCATAGAGAAGTTAACTGCAGCAGCAGCGATAGGAGAAAGGAACTTATGAGGGGGGGTCATAGAGAAGAACAATGGGCAGCTAATGAAGAGAAGCAAATCAGTGGCAGCAGCAAAAGCTGCACCTGAGCAGCAGCAGCAGCAGCAGCAGCTGCTGCTGCTGCTGCAGCAAGAGATGCCTCTTTTGCTGCTGCGCACAAAAGCCTTAACTTATATGGCTGGTCTTAGCAAGCAGCAGGAAATTAGTTAGCGAAAAAGAATATCTCATTTTATTTTAATTAAGAAAAAGAACATTTAGTTAATTGTTTTATTTTTTAACTAAAAAGGAGTATTTTGTTTTGTTTTTAATTATGAAAAAGAATATTCTGGTTTGCTTTTAATTTAAAAAAGAATATTTTACTTTTAAGTAAAAAGACTATTTATTTTAATTTCAATTGAAAAAGAATATTTGTTTCATTTTATTTAAAAAGGATATTTTGTTTTATTTTTCTCAAAAAGTGTCCTTTTAAAGCCCAGGAATTTAATAAAACTGAACTAATGAGCAGCCACAAACTTAAATAAATTAAATTGGATTTAATTTAATTTAATTTAATTTAATTTAATTTAATTTAATTTAATTTAATTTAATTTAATTGATTTTTCTAAATTTTGAAATTCTGCTGCAGCGCAGCAACACTTCTGCGCCCTTCGACAATTTTACGCAATTTTTTGCGCTTTTCGACTTTTTTGTTCAATTTTTCTGCGCTTTTGGACATTTCAAAACAAAAATGAACACTTTTTGACATTTTAAAACCCTTTTTTGGGGTTTTAAAACCCTTTTTGGGGTTTTAAAACCCTTTTTGGCGTTTTAAAACCCCTTTTTCTAAAAAGTGGATCACAGAAAGTCCCAATTTGTCTAAACGGAGCCTCGGGAGCTCCCAGGCTCTGCGGTGTACGTACAGCAGACACTTTACTTGAAAAAAGATGAACTTAAAATTAATTTAAAATTAAATTTAAATTAAATTAAAATTTAAATTAAATTAAAATTAAATTAAATTCTTTTCTTTCAATCTTTTTCTAATTGTGAATTGAAATGCTTCAAATGGTTTTTATTTGCAAAAGAATTCCAACAAGTGCAAAAAGATGCATCGCTTTGGTTTTTGTTCCAAAGAGCCTAAACCCTAAACCCTAAACCCTAAACCCTAAACCCTAAACCCTAAAACACCCTAAACCCGAAATTCACTTCTTGGTTTTCGTTTCCACGAGCCTAAACCCTAAACCCCAAACCCTAAACCCTAGTTTGACCCTAAACCCTAAACGCCAAACCCTAGTTTGACCGTAAACCCTAGAGCCTAGTTTGACCCTTAACCCTAAACCCTAAACCCTAGTTTGACCGTAAACCCTAAACCGTAAACCCTAGTTTGACGCTAGACGCTAAGCCTTAGTTTGACCCTAAACCCTAAACCCTAAACCCTAAACCCTAGTTTGACCCTAAACCCTAAACTCTAGGGCCTAGTTTGACCATAAACCCTAAACCCTAGTTTGACCCTAAACCCTAAACCCTAAACCCTAAACCCTAGTTTGGTTCTTTATTCGTGTGAAGTAGCCTCGAAATGGGAAATTGCCAAAGACATTTGCAGCAAAGAAAGCTTTTAATTATTCTGCCATTAATGCCATTAATAAGCAGCAATTTAAATTTAAAAAGTTTCGTAAAATGAAATTAAATAATTTTTTATAAAGAAATAATTTATTATTTAATGCATGCAGCGCATGCATTAAAACAATCTAATTAAAAATTAATTCCCTTAAAACAATTTAATTAAAAATTTATTTCTTATAAACAATTTTATTTTAAGTTGGAGTTCTGCGTCCCTAGCAGCAGCAAACAGCAGCAGATTGCTGCTGCTTGATGCTCTTAGGGTTTAGGGTTTAGGGTTTAGGGTTTAGGAGTAAGCCGGATAGGACTTGAGTTCTTTTCAAAAGTTTTTAATATCTTTTATTATTTGTTTCGCATTATTTCCCATTAGTTCTTTTTTCTTTTTTCTTTTATTTTGTTTAATTATCTTTTCGTTTATTTAATTATTTCAATATAATTCTTTTCTCTTCACTTTTGTTTATTTATTTATGTATTTATTTTATTCTTTACTTGGCCAAAATAAAAATAATAATAAATTTAGTTTCTTCTTTCTGCGAAAGTACATCTTAATTAAATAGAGCTTTTGCTGCTTTTTGTTTGCTTCGAATTGCTGCTGCGTAGCAGCAAACTGACCACTGGTCAAGGGAGCAGCAGCAGCAGCAGCAGCAGCAGCAGCAGCAGCAGCTGCTGCTGCTGCTGCTGAAAGCGCTGCAGCAACAAATGCCGAAACGTTTGAAGCAAAATATTTCCCAAGTCGAGGAACTTCACCATTTCGAAACAATTGAACTTCAAAAACATTTAAAAAGTCTTTTAAAATATTTAAAAAAGCATTTAAAAACATAAAAGTATATTTAAAAGTATTTAAGAGGCAAAAACCATTTATTTAATTTATTTATTTATCAAAAGTTGTTTTAAAACTCATCTAAAAGCCATTTAAAAAGAATTAAAAAAACAATTTTAAAAACTATTTTAGCATCATTTTAAAGCGAATTAAAAAGCCATTTTAAAAGCATTTGAAAAAGCATTTAAAAACAATTTTAAAAGCATTTAAAGAGAACTTAAAAACAATTTTAAAAGCTTTTAAAAGAACTTAAAATCAATTTTAAAAGCATTTAAAGAAGTCAAAAATAATTCAAAAAGAATTTAAAAAGAATTTAAAATCTTTAAAAAAAAATTAAAAAAGCATTTTCATTAGGAAGCAAAAAGAGTCTGCATGTTATTTTCGAACTTGGCAAAAATTGAAAATATTTTTTTCTTTTTTTTTAATTCTAATTATTTAATTCGGCCTTTTGAAGCCTCTCTAGGCCCTCAACTGCGTGGCTAGCTGGCTAGCTGGGTGGCTAGCTAGCTGGCTAGCTAGCTGGCTAGCTGCGTGGCTAGCTACATGCGTGGCTAGCTAGCTGGGGGCCCCCGCCCGGGCCAATTGGCAGCTAGCTGCTGCAGGCCCTGCAGCCCCACAGAGGCCGGGGGGCCCCCCAGCTGCGCGGGGGCCCCCCGCTGCGAAGTGCAGCAGCAAATGAGTGAAATGAAGTTAAAGAGCAGCAGCAGGAAGCGTGTAGAGGCTGGGTTTGCTGCACACACAGCAGCAGCAGCAGCAGCAGCAGCAGCAGACGGCCCACGGGCCGCAGCCGCTGCTGCTGCGGGCCGCTGGAGCTGCGTCTTTGGCCTTTCTTTCGCATGCAGCAGCTCGAAATGCGCGAAAAAGAAAATAAAAGAAATTAAAAAAGAAATAAATGCAAAACTCGGGGGCTTTGGGGCGCGCTGCCCCGCCGCACATGGCAGCGCACATGCAGCGGCTGCTGCTGCTGCTGCGCGCTGCTGCTGCAGTGTCTGCGGACCTGAGGCATGTGCAGCACTAAGCAGCCTCTATTAAAGCAGCATTTAATATTCTTTTGTCTTTAAAGTGAAGTTGTGGGGTCTGTAGGGCTGCTGACGCCCAAAAGCAGCGGCAGCA